CTGAAGTTACAGTACGTTATTTTATTGCCTAGAGGTACACTTCTCCAAAAGATTATGAATTTGCAAGAACAAGTCAGTTTTTAAAGCTCCATCCAAAACAACTTTGAACAGATATATAGGAAATTCTCAAGGGGTTTTCTCAAAGCAAAAAAATAATAGAGAATAATATGTAGAAAACTAATTCATAGGGAATAAAATTAATCCTTGTGTTTTTTACTCGAAGTTGTTGTTACCTTTAACATCATTGAGGCCTAAGTTTTATTGCTTCCTTTACAGAAGTATTGAAGAAATAATAAAAATTATTGTAATTTTCTAGTAAATTTGTAAAGATTAAAAATAACTATCAAACCCAAATGTAAATATTTATTTTTTTAATAAATAAAAATATATTTGCTTATAAAATGTTATAATAATTGTTGATGTTTTTGATATAGTTCTTAGAAAAAAATTATTATACAACCCATAAAACACAAAGGTAAATTTTTGTATACAAAAAATTATCAAGGTTTCAAACCAAAGTATACAGATTCCATTGGAGCGCAGACTTGTCGCTCCCCCAACGGCCATTTTTTTAACATTGCGTACACTTTTTTTTACTGTCAATCAACGCAGACGACGAGATTAATATTACTCATGACTTACATTACATTACATATGTCTATCTCTCTCTGCCAAGGCTACTTCTGAAATGAAATTCCGTTGCTCACGCGTTACATACATCAAGATTAACTTTTTTTCCAATTTCAAGATTGAATCAACTTGTGATGAAATACAATAAATTATAACTATTCTATCCGCTATATCTGTATTATGAAAAGGTGTTAGGCATACTGTAGCACAGAACAAACTCCGAAATTCACGTAGGCGAAATAACTATTTCCCGGACAATTACCCCATCACACATTTAATTATAACGCCTTTGATAAACACCATTTGAATATACAACGTAGCAAAATAAATTTTAAGGGTAACGAGGCAGTAATAAGTAATGCAACAAGCAGTCAATAAACAGTAAAAGGATGGTAGATGTAAAATTCAAAAGGTTGTACTTTGTGTGTCACTTCTAAAAATAAAACAATATCCTTTGTATCAGCACAAAAGAACAAAACATTAATTTTTTAGTCAATAATGAATTCACTACAAAATGATTTGCAAATATTAGTAATTTATTCTCTGTTAAGAAGCCAAAATGCTGAAGTTATCTTAGAAAAATTAAAACAGATTTTATCTTCAACCATTATGCCGGATCTTTCTCATTTTACAAGTTTTAGTTGGGTATTAGTTTACACAGTGTGTTCGGTAAATCGATTGGCATCTTTCTAGGAATGGTAAGGGTAACCACCTTTATTAAATATTATATACAGAAAGTTTCAGAACTCGCGCCCCTGAGAAAAATTTCAGGTAAAAAAGACACCAGGAACATAAAAAAATTATTAAAAAATTCTATCGGTCATACATTTTTTACATTTTGCCAATAAAAGCCACAAATAACATTAAATAGAATTACAATTTAGGATGCAGCTTCCTTGTTTCCTCTTCTAATAGCCTGTAGCAAAAAAACTTGGAAAATGATATCTTACCATATCTTACCTTACAAGCCATTTTTCTCTAGGACGCGAGTTCTGGCACACCCTGTATATATTATATTGAACTGGTAATTTAACGTTTATCAGTTTGGCATTCAGCGTAAAAAAATACCTCATTGAATTAAAATAATTTATAATTTGTATTATTTGTTTAATTGGTAGTAGAAAAAGTATATAAATTTCTTACGACACTCGTTTATTAAACAATCGCTCTGCTACCCACTGCTCGTGCAGACATAAAAATCGTGTCTTAAGTGTTGTTTATAACACTTATTCCATAATATACTATTGTTTATTTAATATTGAAAGAATTTTTGGACTTGGACATTAATATAAAATTAATATAAATTTAAATAAAACTCTTAAGTTTTTACAAAATTTAAAAAAGCTCAGCTAACGCTGGAAGAAATAGTCAGTTTTTGAAAAAATATTTAATCAAAATTCTAAGACCGAAATTTTAAAGTAGGTTATTAAGATGCGCGGATTAGGTCAAGTCAGGTCAGGTCATAGCAGCAACCAATAACAGTGCAACATTTGCGCCGTTGCAATATCAACTCACATTTCGTAGTTAATACTTGAATAGGTCATATGTCATAAAAAATGCAATTTCGGTTCTTGCTGCCTAAGTCTAATCAGGATAGCCTTCTAGATGGTACGTCAAAACTTCGCATGTGATCAAATGATGAACCATTTAGAAAGTAGATATTTCGATATTGAAATTTGTCCAATGCTGCCAACGGGACGGAATTAGACATTGCAATCACTCGTATGTCATATTTGATATACAGTGTTATTCATAAATATAAAGCAATATATAAACCTCGAAAATGACGTATAAATAATATTAGTTCAAATAATAACTCGTGTCCTATCTCTACTGATAAGAATTTTATATCCTTCGCAATATGGAAATTGTTTTTTTTTAATTAAATTTGAAATAGTTATTTGCGAGAACATACCTTTTAAACTAGTAATCACGAAATCCAGATACATCTTTTCAATTTTCAGTTCCAGCAGCTGCAGGTCATGTTTAAATTATATATAAAAATTGACATTTTAGCGAAATCTAAAAAAATTCATATCTTCGTTATTATAGAAGACACAGATTTGAAATAAAGACATTATATAGGCACTTTTTTCCGTAGAATTTAATTATGTAGTTCACAATTTTTTTCAGTTGTTTGTTTAGCCGTAATAATCTTTAACTAAAAGGATTTAAACTATATTATTCAACCAGTGTCACTAATGAAAGAGTTTTCTAAGTACCTATTAAGTAATGAAAAAAATGCAAAATAAATCGTAAATCAACTTATTGGCGACTAATAACATTTCTTTGTTTTTAAACAAGCTAACATTACCATTGTAAACTTCTAATGATACATAGAGTGTTGTAAAAAAAGCCGCTTTGATTCTTCAATTAAATATATTTTATATGACACAAAAATGACGATATGGCTATTCAAATACCCGTCTATGTGGAACGTTATTCTACCTCCATTAGACCATCAAAAAAATGTTTTTTCTAATTGTGTTGACTGTTGACACATTTGTTTTTCCTATTTTTGGATATTTTAAAAATATGTAATAATTTTGTTCTGAGGCGCTCGCATATTTGTTCAATACTTCTAACATACCTATCATATTTTTTAAATTTTTATAATTTTATCTATTTTTTCATCGATATCTATATATCTATATCTATATTTTTATACCTTATTGATTATTATTTACACATTTGGAATGAAATAGTTTTTCCATGGCCAACTATTATCAAACAAAATATGTATTTCATTTTTTAAGTATAATTATAAAAAAATATTCTGTTACAAATATATATTTTTTAGATCAGAAAAAAATAAGCTTTTCAAAATTGCCATAGCCGCCTATGATTTCCATTTAAAAAAATAGAAGTTTATCTTATTACGGCTAAACCAATAACTGAAAAAAATTGTTAACTACATTATTAAATTCCTCGTAAAAAAGTGCCTGTATAATATCTTTATTTCAAATCCGTATCTTCTATAATAACGAAGATATGAATATTTTTAGATTTCGCCAAAATGTCAACTTTTGTCTGTAAGTCGAAAACAAAAGAAGATAGCGAGATGCGAGATGTATCACTCGTTTTTGGCTAAACATCATAGTGTCGGAGATTCCCTATTCGGACATCCAAAATGCAGCACCCTGTACAATATGTACAGAACAACACATTTAGGTATTCTATTCTAACTTTTGCAATGTGTAAATTTATCTTTTTTGAAGTTTTAAAGAATTTTTAGAAAAAAGTTTATACTAGGTAGGTTCTTGTTTCCACCTCTTCTTCACTCTTAAAATTATGGTTTTGAGTAAATTCTATTAATCTGCAACCGCTTTTATGCTCTAGCTGAGACTATAGCCCTCCTCCAGTTTAGGAAGTATAAGATTTTTTTTTATTTTGAGTAAGTTTTGGCATTTTTACTATTTGACACTGACAAGGTTAATGTCATGCTAATGTCCACTTAATCCAGCAAGAAAATGGTGTACGCAATTTTATTGTCCGTCAGTGTAACCTATATACTCATCCTTCGTCTCTTATTTTGAGCAATATGGCGGCATGAAACTTTAATGAGGGTTTGCACATATTTACAAAATAATATTAATCCAGAAATTATTTTCTGTTAGCGTCATGTTGTTTTAATTATGAGAAATATCTACATTTGTAATGGAATTCGTTATTGAACTTTGACATCAGTCAAGGTCAAGTGGTTTTAATATTAAAGAAACAATGATTAATATTTTGTTAATACTAAATATAAAAATCACAGATTAACTCTTAAATTTCAAGAGCCATGGGTTTTGGAGTCAAGGATTATTTTAAAATTACAAAATACCTATACCTATTTATTTGCTTTTATTTCACATTTACTCACAATATTTTTGTGAAAAGACAATAATATTTAAATTGGTGCAAAAAAACAATATCGAAGCTGGATTAATTCTTACTACCTCAGTTTTTCGTGACGAACCTGTAGGTATGTACATACATACATTATCCACAAATAAATTAAACCACCCGCAATATAGTTGACAAAAAATTTACACGTTGTAGCTAATTAAGCTTACTGCCTTTTAAATAAAATAGAACAAAGAAATTGTTTAATACTTGAAATACAAGTATTAACATAAACAAACTATTAGTACAGTTTTTAAGAGCCCAAATGTGTTAAAATCAACTCTTTTACTGAATTTGTAATAAGTTTAGAAGCAAAAGACCTACATAGTTTGGAAATTTAATAAAATATTAGACGGTGAAAAAGTTTCCAGACACATAAATTGTAGTTGCAACTAGCAACTGTCCGCCAGCGGAAAATCACAACATTTCCGGATAACCCGGAAATGGCCAAAAAATCACTTAACCTTTCCCAAGCCACTAACCTGTCAACAAAGCCGCTAGAAAAAATCCAATTCCGAAATCCAGTGTCTTCATAATTCAATTCAGAATTCACGACACACCATCACAAACGCGTGCTACGTGCTTAAAGCCGGCACTCGGTGGCGGCGTTCCGGTGGCGGCGCACAAGACTAACTACTGGAAACGTGAAGTTCTGCAATGGGAAGTGGCGCGCGACTGCGTCCCTTTTCGGTACAGGTGGAAAAGTTGAGCCCACTTAGACCAAAGATAATAAAATATAATATAATAAGCACCAAGTAATTTATGAATCCCAAAATCGTCTGTCGTTATTTAAACTGCACGTTTGAACTGGATTGCAACTTGAAATAAAATGGCATTTGAAAGCTAAAATGGTGGTACTTAAGTTAAAATAAAATTTTATTGTAAAAAGTACGTGAATCTTCAAGAAAAATGCTAGAGCGCGAATAAATACAGGTGCACTTGTTAGGTCCTAACAGTTGACAATGTCAACTTGACATTTCATATAACAGGTGCAATGGTGGTTAAAGTCACAACGAATTTAATTGTCTATCCAGGATCAGGATTGACAAAAAACTAAAATCAATAACAACAAAATTAGATGTGGATGCGGATCTATTGAAAAATTATATCATTAAAATTTTTCAAAACCAAATCAATTTTAAAAAAGTCTTTAAAACGACGTCAGTTTAGATCTCATAATTAAGCATATCAGTCACAAAAGACACACGGATTCAAGTCCATAAAATACTCAATTACAAATTAATGTGATCGCTACAATTCTACAATTGTACAATTAACAATGCATACTTAAATACAGGCTGTTTCACACAACTTTACGAAACTTGCGCCTAATGCACGCACCCAAATATACAAAAGTCACAAACCACTGGATATAAAAAATACACATTTATCTATTTAATCACTGTTTCATTAATATCTATAAACTGCAGATTCCTAGAAACAATTATCTTTTGTTCTACAAGAGATGGCATGAATATGATTCTAGTTTATCTATCTTAATCACTAACTAACTAAAAACGTTGTAATTTTTGAAAGGGTGAACAAACTAGAGAAGGTTATCCAATTTTTCAAAATTTGTAATCGAGTTCGTATCGGAATATGTATTACTGATTGCATCTTACAGGCGCAGGTCTCGTAAAATTATGTGAAACTCCCTGTATTTAATCATAATACCAATGGAAATAAAAAAAATAATACGAAAAAACAAAACAAAAATAAACACAAGAAATACAATAAAATAACAAGTATGGAACAATCGTGAAGGAAGAAATAAATAATATTTCTCCTTCTACGAGAACAGTAGAATTAAGCGTTTTTTGCATAAACTGATTACATTACAAACGAAAATAATTAGTACAATGTACTATAAAAATTTTAAAAATAAATGTTTTCGAAAGTTTTCTTTTTGGAGTTATACAAAAAAAAATGAAATAACAATCTAATATTTTTTTAAATTATACGGGAAATTGCATCATTCTTTGACAAAAACATATTTTTTTTAGAAATTGAAAACACAAAAACTAAGACAGCTAAAAAAATTGCTATGCAAAGGAGAAAGTAAAATTTAAAACACAAAAACTAAGACAGCTGAAAAAACTTGCTACGTAAAGAAGAAAGTACTAACTTTACGGGTATAGTGTAATTAGTGTATTGCATTTGTTAAAATAAAAAAAATGTTTTTTTATACATACTGGATGCGCCCGAGAAAAAAATGCTATATAAGGTAAGATACCAGGAACATAGAAAAAATGTTTAATAATCTGGTGTGAACATCACATGACTTTCCTTATCCAACTTCTTTGGAAAACATCCCTACAACAATAATTTAGTGTTGGAAATCCGAGTAGCAAACCTAACGTTTGCGTTAGTGCTACCTGCGAAATAGAGCATAGTTGTCGCGGGTTCGAGTCTGGGGTGCAATTATTTTTAGTTCGGTACCCATTATTTATCATTATGAACTAGGTGTATTGCTCACCTTAAATCTGAGTACTTAATGTAAATCTAATTTCTCAATTTTTCTTTTTAAAGCAATATGAACTACTTTTTTATACCCGATTATGACATTGACAATTGTTTATTAAAAAAAAACGGATAATATGAATTTTGAATGAATGATATAATCATGACAACGAATGACCATGGGGTCACAAATTGCTCTCAACTTTATCATTGGACATTGTTGTGAATTTTTATGAATTAAATACTACGAAATCCATTTGGATTTATTGTGGGTTATGTTTGGAGTTTGAAGTAGTGGTGAATGGATCAAAAGTTAAATGATCCGGATCAGAAACGATCCGTAACCGAATCAGATCTTAAATAATCCGGATCAGAAACGGATCCATAACCGCATCAAAACTTAAAATTTCATGGCCTTTAAATAATCAATAAAATTGCCAGATCTGGGATTTTAAGATGTGTTTAATTTTAACAGTTCTCTAAAAAAGTTACAAAACAGACCACAATAACCAAAAAATTTATGTATAAAGATAATTGTTTTTTTATATACATTTTAAGGGGTATCGCTTACCTGTTAGTGTTATTATTGCACAAGAACAAACTATTTTTAACGTTTACTTGCCAGCAGAACCTTGTTGCTTGTACATAGTGAATTAAATCCTGGACACATGAATTTCGTCTACAAATTTTCCTCGAATGTGCGTTTATAACACCTGCATTTCTTGGAATCTTGGCGCCCGTTTTTAGTGCACGCCGCAATGCACGTGGGAAAAATTGTTTAAAACAGTGCCTTTGAAAAAAGTTCTTATTGTGAAATTTTTTAAACAAATATTTCATATTTTAATACAGGGTGAGTCATAAATAATAAAGACCCTAACCGATTTTCAGACGCAACCCAAAATGCATTTTTTCAAAGCCATAAACATAGATACCTGTGACAGCTTTGACAATTTTTATAACTTGGAATCCTACGGTGTACTTTTTACAGTACAGATTCAGCCACAGCATTTTGTGTCATTCCCCATTTGTCAAGATCTTGTCAGTTTCTTCGTCGTTTGAGTACATTTTAAATACAAGGGGAAAAGAAAGTGGAATTTTTGACACTATCAAATTTAACTAATGACATATCAACAATTACTTTGATTTGAATTTAATAAACTCAATTTTTCAAACGCACAAAAAGCAAAGTTGACTGTGAGAATGTATTTTGGGTTGCGTCTAAAAATCGGTCAGGGTCTTTATTATAAGTGACTCAACTTGTATGAATGAATTTCCATAAATCAAATTTCTGCAAACATTACTTTTCACAGTTTGCAGCAAGCAATGTTTAAGTATACTGTATGTACGCTAATTTTTGATCAGGTAATCGAATTTAATCCAAACACATTTTGAACTAAAATACACGACGTCATTATATTGATGCGATCCGTCAAACTGCCTTAGATTTTTATTTAGTAGGTACGATCCATTTTAGTGATCCGGATCATCTGATCCGAATCCAATCCGTTACAGTGATCCGGATGCGATCCGTTACAGTGATCCGAATTTGATCCGGATTTACGATCCGCACTAGTTTGAAGTAACCTTTTTATTCAATATTTTCAGACAACGATTTGTGTGGCCCTGGTCATTCGTTGCGTGAATATCATTCATACTTTCTGCTGCACTTGTGCAGTCTTCACTTTAAATTAACATATCGTTGAATCGGTCTAATTTAGTAGTATAAAAGGTTATGTTTTTTATTTAAAATAGATTACTCTATCGATTTGAGCAATAAAAAATTAGTGTCAAAAAGTAAAAAAACAGAAAATGTGACCTGCAACTAAATTTGAGGGCTGTAAACTTCTTATTAACAGAGATAGGACACATGTTTTTATTTAAATTAACATACTTTTATAGGTCATTTTTGAGGTTCAAAAATTGCTTCATATTTATAAATAACCCTGTACAGGGTTATAAAATGATGTTAATTTTAGTAATAGTAGTTAATTCTGCATCGACCTGTATCAATATTCCTTTTACCTAAGTTTAATTATTTCCAAGTTGCCTTGACTTTTTAGTGCAATGGAAGAAATTTATTACTACAGAGTGAGTCATTTATAATAAAGACCCTAATCAATTTTCAGACGCAACCCAAAATACATTTACACATACAACTTGGCTTTTGATGTGTTTGAAAAATTTAAATTAGGTATTAAATTAAAATTAAAGTAGTTGTTGATATGTCATTCATTAAATTTGACTGAGCAATCAATACCTCCTTTTTTTCTTTTCAATTCAAAATGTATACCCAACCGACGAAGAAATTGAGAAAATCTTAATATATGAAAGCTGCCACAAATATGCTGTGGCTGACTCTGTACTATCAAAACTACACCATAGGACGCCTATTTATAAAAACTGTCAAAGCTATCACAGGTTCATATGTTTATATCTTTGCAAAATTTCAAAAAGAACATTAATTGACGCATAGTGGTATCTGTAAATGTATTTTGGGTTGCGTTTCGAAATCGGTTAAAATATTTATGACTCAGCTTGTATAATAAATCATTAATAATTTTAAACTGAAATATTCAGACAACTAATGAATGTATTAAAAATGAGCATTTTATGTCCAATAAAATAAAAAACGATGAAAATAAAAAGAGCGTGGATGCGATAGGCTTTTGACAATCTGCCGTTCTGCCAGCTTTTAGCGATTGCAAAGGCAATCGTTTTAATGGAGAGGATGAATAAAGGTGGTGTGGTTTTTAATTCCCTGTGAATATTGGAGTGCTTTCGAAAATTTAATATTCTTAAACGGTAAGAGACCGAGTTGATCGAAAGGTCAAGATTTTAGAAGAATTGCATACGTTCCACTGTTTCGCCTTAAATTTAAAATAAACTCAAACTACGAAAAAACTGACATAATTTTGATGAATGGAGAATGCCACAAAATACTGTAGCTGATTTTATCAAAGATGTACTATAAAACGTCAATTTATAAAAACTGTCAAAGATATCACAGGAACCTATGTTTATATCTTTAAAAATTTTAAGCAGAACATCAATTATCAATTATTATTGGTATGTCAGAAGGTATTTTGGGTTGCGTTTAAAAATTGGTGAGGGTCTTTTATTATACATGTACAG